AAGAGGTGAGTCAGGCACGACCTGTTTCTCATGAAGCCATGCCGGGACAGGCTAAGTTCAATTTAGTTTGCACAGGACGGAAATGGTCGAGACCAATCGTGCGTCCAGATCGTTGTGTTGTCAACTAGTCTCCTTGGCTTCCAACACCGCTCTCAAAGGTTCGTTCTGTTTTTTTCTGAAAGGCAGAATATTTAGGTGCAGTATCTCATCCACCAGATATGTAGAAATCAAATACATTGATACAAGAACGACTCACCTTGTTCCGTTATTGTCCCTCAAATGGCCAGCTTCGGGAAAACCATATCCCAGCACAGATCCAAGGCCGTTTTGAAGGCCACAACTGTTTAACCGCTTACGACATTTTCCGGCAATCTGTTCCACAAAGGTAACACCCAGTTTGCTAAGTACCTGGCCCTCAGCTCCAACCTGGAGTGCTCTCTTTGCAGCTTAGGTCAGGTCAGGTCAGGTCAGGTCAGGTCAGGTCAGGTTGCACAGGACTGAATGTGGCCACGGCAAATGGAGCGTCCAGAATTCCTTCGATGTTATGCTCACTGAGTGGGCACCCAGCACTGCTGAAATGAAAATGAGAAATAGGATCTCATCTCACCAAGTTGGCTAGTGAATCTTTAGACGTGAGCGTTCCATTATGTGCGCCAGTGAAAAAGGGAAATGGCATCCTAACAATTGGCACACCTACATTCGTCTACACCGACAGAGATGGGAATAGTTCTACCCATCGCTTGTCAGGTGCAGTCTTAAAGATCTGCACTGTTTAAGGTCGACTATTTCCTGGGGAAGCCGGTTCCAGCTATCTACTATCCTATCACTGAAAAGGTGCTTTCGTATTTTCAGCCGACATCTTTGCTTCACGAGCATGATTTCATCCCCCTAGTGCCGTGTTGTGGACCTGATGTGAAGAGACTGTCCGCTTCTATCCCCGATATTCCCTTCGTGATTTGAAGGTTTCTATCAGGTCTCCTCGCAGTCTTCTTCTTTCTAATGAGAAAAGCCCTAGAGTCTCAAGTCTTTCCTCATATGTTCTCCCCCTTTGGCCTTCAACCATTCGGGTGGCCAATCTCTGCACTTTCTCTAAACAGGCAGCATCGTTCTTGAATAGGAATGTCCAAGCCTGTACACAATACTCTAGATGTGGCCTGACTATGGCCTTGTAAACGGGAATGAAGACTTCCGGTCATCTGCATGATAGGACGGACCGCAGTCTGAATAATTCCCCCCAGCCTTGCGCGCTGCTATTACACACTGGTCAGACCACTTAAAATTATTCGATACTACTACCCCCAAGTCCTTTACCCTGGTTGCAGGTTCAATTGCTAACTCGTGCTCATCCGAGTTAACTTGCAGTCTGTAAAACGCCTCTGCGAACACATGACTGTTGGTGGCGTTAAGGCTTAGGTCCCATTCCATTGCCCATCTAGCTACCTGTTCTGAATCCCGCTCCAGATCACTTCTCCTATTCGAACCAACTGTATTGATCGATCTGTGAAAATCCTTCCTGTAAAGCCCAGTCATTCCATCTCGGTTCCACATTTCGTGCATTTTACGTTCCATTCACGAACCTCATCCGCCTCAGATGCATATAGACAATTGACGTTTCACTCCCCTCGTATATTTACACATAAATCCTATCATTTGTCTTTGTTTGTTTATCTGCTTCAATTTTTCCCTACTTGTTTTAATCGTGACTTGGTCACGTTTGGCTCGTTTAAGTGCAGCGTGACGGTGAGCGTGTTATTCTTACCCAGGCTCATTTTCTTCCATTCAGATTTTTTGAATTACGCTCACAGTAACACTTGCTCTTGTTTTCAAGTTGTTTCGAGAACACCTTGAGATTTGTACAGTTTTTATTTGCATATTTAATCGCTTATTAATGCAGTACCGTAGAAGTTTGCCGGATCGTTCGTTTTTTGACGTTTTGGGATCCAGTTTTGGCTACGCGTCGCNATATCTGGGAGTTACAGTACTCAAATTCGCACAATTTGGAACAAGAGAATGTCGTTGGAACAAGGAAGGATCGAGGCGGAAGGACAGGAAGTAACCCGGCAAGTCACTGGGAAATTTGGGGGGTTTCTGATTCTCACATTTTCAATTCAGGCTCGACTATGCACGCCGCGGCGAAGAAATAGACCTTACCCGTTAGTTTTACGCCGGGAGCAGCTGAACCACTGACTGAAGTAGTGTACCGCCACCCCTCGATAGATCTGCCCAAAGTGAAGCTTACGCCATTTGACGGGAACCCCAGTAACTACTGGAGATTTATCAGAGAGTTTGATAACTTCGTCGACTGTCGGGTCTCCGATCCAGGACAGAAGTTCCTGTACTTGAAGCATTATTGCCGCGGGAAGGCCCGAGATGCTATTGAAGAATGCGTCATGCTACCGAACGATCTGGGGTATATCCGAGCGAGGGATATTCTGAAGGAATTGTTCGGTCAACCTTTCCACGTGACATGGACACTCATAGATGGGGTGCTGGCTGAGGCACGCAAAGCAAGGAACGAACCCGAGTCGTTGGTGCGACTGGTAATGAAGATGCAGAACTGCTTTATTGCCTTGACTCAAATGAGCTACGAAGCAGATTTGAATGCATTACACACCCTAGAAGCGATAGTGAGATGCCTGCCGGCTGACATACAACAGCGATGGGCTGAGGAGGCGGTGATAATTGGCCGTTTAGGGAGAGAACCCAATGTCACTGAGTTGACGGAATTTGATCGCTTATTAATGCAGTACCGTAGAAGTTTGCCGGATCGTTCGTTTTGTTAACGTTTTGGGATTCAATTCCTGCTACGCATTGCTCGTTGATCTTTTCGGGAGTTACAGTAACATCCTGCAAAATGCACAACAGGTTTGTTAGGTATGAACCTTGTTCAACGAAACCATGCTGTGCCCGTCATTAGTATGTTACGCGCCAGATGCCTCACCAAATGCGTTTTAACTATCTTGTCTAGTGCCTTACATGGTACACTAGTTCAGCTAACAGGTCGGTAGTTCTTAACATGTGTCTTCTTACCTCCCTTGTGTATAGCTACTACAAAGGCCGTTTTCAGTATCACATCCCTTGTGGTGAGGTTATGGGTGGTACTAAACGCTTACCTCAAGGAAAACCGCTATCCAGCACTCATCAAGTGCCTTTTAAAAATCATTAACAGTACTACATTTTACCACTGACAGTGGCAACCGGTTCAACAACGGAATCACCCTGTTAGTGAAAAACGTTGCTCTCAGTTGCAGCCCGGACTGGCTTCGCTGCAACTGTAAGTTATGCCCCTGCGTGCTCCTATGCGAAACTCAGGAGAACAGGTCGTCAAACCTAAGACCTGACACCCTTGATTATCTTAAATGTCTCGATTAGGTCTCCTCTAATCTGCCTCCGTGTGAGGGAGAACAGATTTAAATCTATGAGCTGCTGTTCATAGCTCTTCCCTCGTTGCCCAGTTATCATTCCAGTGGCTAGACGTTGAACCCTCTCTAAGTTATCGACGTCCTTCCGAACGTACGGAGCCCAAACCTGCACACAGTATTCCAGATGCGGGCGGACGATGCTTTTGTATCGGTGGACAAAGACCTCTGGTTTTCTGCACATCATCGCTGCGCATAGACGAAACAGTTGTCCCCTGGCTTTATTTGCTGCCTTCACACATTGGGTACTGGGTTTGATGCCCGCGTGATTGCTATGCCTAGATCCTTTGCTTCGTGCACCCTAAGTATCGTCAGGCTCCTTGCTGTCTCTTCGTCATTTCCGGTCGTCAGTATCTGACATTTAGAGGCATTTAGTGGCAGGTCCCATTTTTCGGCCCATCTTTGTACTACCTTTATGTCCTTTGCTAGATCTCATCCAGCTATCTTGACGTCATCTGCAAACAGAAAACAGGGATTNTAGTGGTCCAAGTACGGATCCTTGGGGTACGCCGCTTGTGACCACCTCCTCCTCGGATGTGTGGGCTCCTACTTTGACACTAGACGCCCGCTGCGCAAGAAAGCCCAGTATCCAGCTCCTGACTTGCCCATCTACTCCCAATAATTGCATCTTATGCTTCAACAGATGGTGGCTCACAAAGTCGAATGCCTTCTGGAAGTCCAGGTAGCATACCTCTACCGGTAGGCTCTCATCAATTCTACGTATGACCTCGTCTAGGAACACTAACAGATTTGTCAGACAAGAACTCTTTTCACATGATCACCAGGCAGCCGTGCTCACCTTCTGAACCCAATTTGTATCAGTACACGGATTCAACTTCAAAGCTGGATCTGTGGAACATAATTACTTCCGGTTCGTACTTCTAGAAGCATTGTGACCTCTTCCTCTCTAATCCAAATGTTTCCAATACCGTTTTCACCTGTTTCACTTGACTCAACTCCGTGGCACATGCTAACCAGGCAGCTGTGTCCACTTTCTAAACCCAATTCTTATCAGTACACGGATTCAGCTTCAATGCTGGATTTGTGGAACACAAATAATTCCGGTACATATTTATACACGTTTTGTGACCCAATAATCCTAACTCGAAATCCTCTGTGCGCCGTTGATGTATGCACCCGATTTATCTTCCAGAATTTCGTCCTGCCATGTCAATCCCACTGATACACCCCAGTCCATTTTTCCTCTGCATATATATATATATATATGTATTTAGATATAGATATATATTTATACACTTTCGGGCATTAAATCTCGCTGCATATTCGTTCGAAACATTTTGTTTCTCCTTCTCCCTTTATCAGCTGGGTATTTTCCCAGACTGCCAGTTTTGCCTTTTTTGTTTCAGATTTGGTTGGCTTGGGCCTGCTGAAGACTTGGGGCCTACACCGAAAATGGACAATTGGGCTCCGGCAATGGTTGTTGGGCGCGGTTGTATCCACCATTCAGACCACATGCGTCCGCATTTAACTGAGGCGCGGATGCCGGGTGCGATAAATTATGCGGCGTCTCAAAAATCTTTTTGCGTAAGGTCGATGGGACTACTGACCTAGGGAGACGTCTTAATAGACTTTGTGTTCTGAGGACGGAAGTGGTGGATGTTCGAAAAGAAGCGTGGATTCCTTGCGCAGTCGCTCAATATCAATGTCGCCGGTTAGCACTGTGGCTATGTCCTGTAAATCAACGGCTTCTGGGTAAGGGTTACCCAGGAGGAGCATGCGTGAGAGTGCATCCGCAACAGGGTTGATGACACCAGGATATGCCATACATTGCATATCAATTGTGTGAAGTAATAAAGGTGTGGTGACTTTCGTGGAGAGTGTCTGTTGATGGTAGAAAATGACGTGAATGAGTGTAGTGACTATGATTGTACGAAGAAAAGGTGCGATCCGCGAAGAAGTTTTCCGTTCATATTTTCTTCACAATCAACTCTGACTCCAACTGTGATTGACAAATGCTGGTGACATAGATCTCATGGCACTCACGGCAGATCTATGGCTCTCATCGGTGTCATTCTGTAGGATAGCGTGGAAGAACCATCTATCAACCGGTGTCGTCTACAATCATATCACGCTAAGGCACGAACCTACCACAGTTTAGCTGATGTATGGCGTTTCTAGCGAAACATCATTAAACTTGGCTACGCAGTGCAGCATAATCTTGTGAAAAAAATAAATGTGATGAACGACGCGTTCGTTCAGCCCTATTCTGACGACTTTGTAATTCTACAGCATATCTCGAACGTTCACTGATTTGCCACGTGAATCCGACTGAGATCTTCTTTGATGTTTAGATTCTCCCACTCCTTCTCAGCTGGGTATCGTCCCAGACTATCGTGTATCGCCTTCTTGTTCCAGAATCAGTCGGTTTGGGCCTGCCAAAGGCTTGGGGTCTACACCCACAATGGACAATTTGGCTCCGGCGATGCTTGTTGGACGCGGCTGTCTCCACCGTTCAGACTACATGCGTCCGCATTCCAGACGAGGTTGAGGATCACAATCCTTGCCCCACCTACAAGGTGTTTTAAGGTTGGGTGTCTAGCATGTAGCCAGTCCAACATTGAAGCGACCAACGCCTAAATAATTTAAATCAATCCATTGCCGCTCGAACGCCCGAAACCCAAGTGAATGTGCTCTCAGAAGGAATCTGTTATGCAGCTGACAGAGAAACATGTATTTGGGAACTGCATAAACTTGTTGTACCCCTCTTTCCCATTCATTTCTATCCGCGAGTCTCAATCGCAGGTCAGGTCAGGTCATGTTGCACAGGACGGTAAAGGTTTTCGCCTATCGAGCGTCCAGAAACTTGATCACGTTGCAAACAGGTTTTCCGGAGCTTCGACGTCATATCGATCGTTTTACCTTCTTGCATGTAAATTGTGTTCACCATCCAGATGCGAATAATTAAGCATTGCAAGCAGATACTTCACCCGTCCCCTCCCATCGTCCCTTCCAGATTCTTCCCTTCCACTACCTGAACCCCCATCTCAATTACACTCAGTAGCGAACGGTGCTCTCGTATTCTCGTCAGCGGGCACTGCTTGTCAATCGAAAACCGACAAACCAAGATCCGGGAGCATTGAGCTTAGCCTCGAACCAGTGAACTACTTCATAACATACATCAAGACTTCAAACTCCAACAGACCCAGCCTAAAAAACCAGATCTCTACCCCACCGCATGAGAGACTTGAAACCTAGGTAGTGACCAGTTGAGACTTGATTGGATTACGAGTACCCTGATTATGACATACCGTGAGTATAGTGAGAGCGTTCACCAAGCACTCAGCGTCGTACTGTCGTTCTCGTTATGGGACCAGTAATAATGTTTACCAGTATAAATTATTATATGCACAGGACTGCATGGACGTAAGAAAGGTATAGAGGTGTGAGTTTGAGTATAATTGAACGTATTCGTGGCTGGAGGTACAAGCACGTCGGGTGGTATTAAGAAGGTGACACGCGATTACGGGCGAGGGTAATCAAGAGTAGGCTAAGGTGACTCGAGTCTGTCTTTTTTCGTGTTACATGCTCATACCAGTCCGCTCCAGATGAACTTTCAAGTGGCCCCTATTGGATCGTACTAAAGAAAGTACCGCAGAGTGAGGCGAGAATTTCAAAAGCTGTGGAAGTGCATCGATAACATTGGAGCTCGATTTTGCAAGGAACTGGACGCTCGTTTGGCTCCGCAGGCGACTGCGACAGAAGATCAGGAATTGATTGTTCAGCTGCAATTATTCCTTGTCACGTCCAAAAGGGTTTGTTGGTAGGAGACTTCAACATGCCCGAGATTAACTAGAGTAGAGACAGAGCACCAGCAGATACTGGGGGTGGACTGCTTTTACAGTGGCTACATCAGCAGGCATTATCACAACACGTGCCGCAAGCCACCCGTTTTAGAGCAAACGATAGGCCGTCCATACTGGATCTGGTAATAACCAGGACCCCTGAAGACATAAGGACGATAATCCAGGAAGAACCCCTAGAGAAAAGTGATCATGTGGTCGTGCGACTAACGCTAGAAAGCAGATACACCAAACCAGCAGGAGGAACTGGCCAGAGCGGCGCAGGATATGAACTGAGTACCCCACACAGCTGATGCATCTATGGAAACCTGATGGAGCAATATCAAGACAGAACTTCTCCTACTCACGGAAAGGTTCGCGCATTTGGTTCCGTTAGAAAAGAAGCAACGTCCTCCTTGAGGGAAAGCAAATATAGATAGGGCAATAACCATTCGTAGAAGACGGTGGATGGTCTACAAACTGTAGTGCACCCATCAGTCGCTAGTTAGAATTATCGGTCTGTAGCTGCTGGCGTGATGTCAGTATCCCATTTTGTAGATCGGTGATATGATTACGTTTTTCCAGGCATCAGGGAATTCACCTTTACCTAGGCAATTTTGAAACAGCCGCCCGTAATGTGGGGCTAG